ACATAAAGTGCAGTCTCTGGGGGAGAACATCAAGAGTGGCAGCAGCAAACATCACTGATGAAGTTCCACACACTCAGTAAGTCCTTTGCGGGACTACCTCAACCAACTTCTCTTCCAGCATTTCATGGTATGCTCTAAAATATCTCAGAGAGAAAACAGTGTTTTTCATACCCTCAAATATTCTCTCACAAAAGCGGGGAAACAAGAATATTTTCTTCCCTTTGTTATTTGAACAGATTTGATTTCAATTGATGAAAAAATAAGCTATATCCATGTTCATTAAACTGAAAATATCTGAAGCACATTTTTCTCTCCAAATAACAAACTTGTAAAAAAGATGTGAAATTACAGTTCAGCTCACCTTTCAAGAGATTCTGACATTGTACATGTTACCTATCACTTATGAAGTGTCTTCTCCACCAATTTTACAATGCATACTCCTTACTTAATCCCAGACTGAAATTAAGTATTGTACTATTCATTATAAAGCTGCTTTGTTAACAATCATTAGATCAACAAGGATGGGAAGAAATGTATATATTATTGCATATTTCCGAGACTCCAACAAAACAAAACGAAATTGAGTTACCATAGAATTCTAAAGCCAGAATTCTAAATCTAAAATACCTTAGATTTTAACTAGTTCAACTCACCCCCAGATATTTCATGGCAGAGTGGGAACCCCAAAAGACAAACTGTGATTTCCAGGCCAGAGTTCCTTTCACTGCACCTTTATCACCTTTGCTTAAAACACGCCCCCCAACACCCCCCCAAAGCATTAGTAATAACAGTTGTGAATTACAGAGTCTCCGATTTTCAAGAAATCGTTAAAAGTTTGTAAGACCGAACTGCTATCCATTAAAGGTTTTAAGATCGTTAGCCTTAAAAATAAACTAAATTTATAATTAGATATAACACTGTTCTTTTTTATGAACAAAAATTCAATCCTCTGAACATCTGAAGGTCTAAACTCATTGTTTCAAATAACAATGACCATGCATTAAAAAATCTCAAGATCAATTTTTTTTAAAACACAGTTTTAAAAAAGCTGCAGGAGACAGCTGGACAAAATGGTATACATAAGGTTTGATGCAAGAATTGAAATGTTTTTAATATAGAATGACTGAACCAAGTTATCATAAATGTATCAAGCCCCAGACATACTTAGACATATAGTCACATGCATACTGTACATAAATGTTAATGAAAAGAAGTTATGCTCAAAAGATCACAATGAAATCATGAACATGATCAACTTAAAGTAAGAAGATGGTGAATTACTGAGCACCAAAGATTAAGATTATTCTCAATTATTTATAGTATATTAGTAAAGGAACATTTCTCTTCAGTTGGCAGAACACAATTTTAAGAACAACCTTCAGGGAAACATGCTCCAAGGGCTTACAGCGTATCCTGGCTTGTCCTATGTGAAAATAGCACATTGTCATGAAAAGGAAAAAAGAACAGAATGATGAGACCGTATGTCTCCTGGCTCTCCATCATACTCTCCCTATTCTAATGGATGTGAATAAGTTATCAGGTTGCCAGTGAGCTAGAAGTCTGAAAGATAAATGTGGTCCAAAGAATCCTTATCTACTTGCCTCAAAATGTGAAAAAATTTAATCTTTTTATAATAACCCTAAAAGGCTGTTCTGCGTCTGAATCATTATGTAATGACACCAACACTCTGTCATACTGAATGTGGAAATAGCCAAAGCTCTGTAATTCATCAGGAAAAAGAAACCTAAAAATACATTCCAATTGATTATATTTGTAAAAGTGAAACTTTCTTAGATACTGGTGATTATTTTAAAAGACAGCAGTCATGCAGAGCCAATTGCTCAGAGTGCTTCCTAATGAAGCACTGGCTCTTTCATTTATGTGATCTATGTCCTCCTCAAATTCTAGAAAATTCTCTGCCACTTTTGCCTTGAATATTACCTTTTTCTCATTCTCTCTTCTTTCTCCTCCTAGAATTCCTGCTGTTGGATTACTGGATGATTTTCATATTATTCCCCATCTCTCAACTTCTTGTTCATATTTTCTACTGCTTTATCTCTTTCGGCTACATGCAAACTAATTTTCTCAGGTTGAACTTCTGTTCACTAATTCTTTGCTCAGTTACACTTTAACACAACCTTGAGTTTTTCGTTTTCTAATTTCAGAGATAAAAGATTTCATTCTTAGAAGTTCTGTTTGTCCTTTTCAAATCTGCCTAGACTTTCTGGAGAGTGTCTGCCTCTTTTCAGATTTTCAATTCCTTCTCTTACATGTTTAGTCATTTCAAACAGTTTTATGTATCTAGTAATTCCAATTAACTGAAGTTCTTATAGATCTAGACCTGTTTTGTTATTAAATTTGAGATTGTGAATTCTTCATAAGTAGGACTTTATCTGGGAATCTTATATGGCTTGGACTAGAGGCTGAGTTTTTCCAGAATAATGGCTTCTGCCAGGTAACCCAGGAAGATTATCAGCCCAGAACCACTTTACCTCTGCTTGTGGGTTCCCAGAAAATGCAAGTACTATAGATGTGAACCTCAAAGCCTCATGAGGACAGGACTATGAAAGCAAATTTTCAAGGGAGTAGGCATTCTTATTCCATAGAGATCTCAAGTCAAAAAAATGAATTTGCCTGTTATCATATGGCATTAAATTCCATCCATATACTGATGACTCTCAAATTTCTATCTCCGAGTCAGACTTCACTCAGGAACTTCAAATCCTACAACCGATAGTCTATTCAACACCTGGGCTTCAATGTCTAATAGGCATCTCAAATTTACCACATCAAAGCCTAAACCTAACTTCTTGATTTCCCCTCCCCCTGCTCCCTTCCTCTTCCCCTCAAAAATACCTGTTCCCAATCTCATTTATTCTTCTTCCAGCTCAGGCCCCCGTGTGGCACATGGCTCCAACTCCTACTCACCACTGTAGATGCTGCTACCATCTGATGAGTCCCCTTTCTTGTATTTAAGCACTACTTACCATTAAGAAATTTGCTTTATAATTTTCTATCCAGTAGTGAGCAGAAGCCTTACCCCACTGCTTAGATGGTCATAGTGACTGAAAGTCCTCAGGGTTGACTTTTCAAATGTGAGTGGGCAAAGGGGGCTACTTAAATGACTTATAGTTTGCTCTTGATACCAGATTGCCATCAGGGCTTGCTCCATTCAGTGTAATGCGACTAACAAGGCTCAAGAAAGCACATAGAAACCACTTCCTATAAAATAACCGTGAGTGTGGATACATCTTATAGACTGACAAACTGATGACTGGTATTCAAGATCCTTCCTATAACCTATCTGACCTCACACACACTATGCCCTTAATGCAGCCTGAACTACCTACAATTGCCAAAATATATGTCATGACATCTTACTTCCAAGATTTTGCTGAATTGTTTATGTTATCCAGGATGCCCTTTCACACTTTTTTTTTTTTTTTAAACAAAACCCATGTATTCTACAAGGACCAGGTCAAACAGTACCTCATCTGCAAAGCTCTCTTAGATCCCTGTCATATTTCCTGCTTTTGGCTTACTCTTCCCCACCAATATATTTACTGATCAACTACTTACTGTGCTGCTGGGTGTGTTCCAATTACTATGCTAGTCATAAAAGGGAAAGGAGACAGATCAAGACATATTCCCCAGAGAGGAACAGAATTAAGTAATGCTTCCAACCAGACATGGTAACTAGTCATGGTCATCTGGATAGCCTCACTGTACCACACCTCCTAACCTGCCTATTGATCTAATCCATAGTCCCAAGTTCCTGCTGTGAGGTCCATTTTGTAATCTATCTTGCTGCCTTTCCTAGCACCTCAGTCTCTCTCAAAGAACTGAGGCCTTCTCCTAAACTCTCAAGCTCATTTGGCTACGGTTCAGAAGTAAATACTTGTAGCCTTCTTCCCAATCCTTGTATCTGTCATCACTGGCAAAAGTGATACCATGAATGGCTCTATCCCCTGGAATCACAGCGTAAGTGTCAGACTGAATTCCTGCCCACTGCCTAAACTCTTCAGTGTTACTTCACAAGCACTAGACTGGACCACTCAATACCAGCATTTGCCTGGATGACATCTGTGCCCACTGAGTCACATACAAGTCCTCGCCAGGGCTAGTCTCTGGAATCAGATATGGCATTCCAAGCCATGTCATCCATAAGCTCCCCTCTTTCTGTTTTTAACACCTGGTTCACCATTTTTCAAGCTGAAGCGTAATAATGGCTACAGGGAACTCATCTGGTCCATTTCTCTGTAATCTCTAATAGGGACTGGTGATTCATCCTCTTTCCTCCACAAAAGTTTAACATGTTGCAGAATGAGTAAAGCACAGGGCAAGACGGCTACATCGAGTGCCGAAAAAAGCTGTCCCCAGTCAATACCTGCACGGGAGAAGGTAACTCTATCGCAACACGTGGCAACGACCAGAGTGGGGGGAAAAAGGAAAAGAGAGCAGCCACCAGCAATATAAAGTCTCCTTCTCCAGATGCCTCCACATTAATTGTTCCTTTGTCCCTCTGTATTATAGAGGCATAATACATTTCACTATCTAGTAGGGCTGGAATCCTTCTCTTCTGCTCTTCTTTTGAGAGTTTTCTCTATTATTATTATTTGTTCTTGCCAATGAAATTTATAATCAACTTGCTTAGCTTCAGGAAACACACACACACAGACAGCATCATCATAAAACCACAAATTAACTTAAGGAGCTCAACAAATTTATGATGTTGACACTAAAAGCTAAGTATAAAAACTAAAACTAAAAAAAAAAAAAAAAGCCTCAAAATATTTTACCATTCTCTGCTTGTGAAAAGATACAGGCTGAACCCAGAAAACCTTTGCTACATTATACATTACCACGGGAAAGTTTATTTAAACAAACTTAGATTAACTAGCGGAGGATGTGATTTATTTCATGTGCTGTGTAATGCAGCTGATTGGAAAAGACCCCCAAACGATGAAATAACACAAGGCATTAGTAGTGTACTTGCTCACCTTCCTTTTTCAGCCATTTCACAATGTTTCCTTCTTCCATCGTAGGAGACAGTGATGGCATCAGTATCTTAATGGGATCAGCTGAAAATGAAAAAGGAAAGATCAGCCACACACACACACACACACACAAAAAGCACCTCATGAGGTGTCAATAGAAAGTTCAAATACGTTAAAATCAAATTCAATTTGGGAAAGAAAATATTCCAAAATCTGAAAGACTCCCAAGTGGTCAACTAAGTGTCCAGTAAATAGTATGGAAACACAGAATTGTCTTTTTTTTTTTTTTAAATAAAACTCTTTTTGGAATACTTTCAATTCCTTTTTCATAGTTCCCCAGTCATGTGTATTTTCAAGCCAGATGCTTGCAAGATTAAAAAAAAAAAAAAAACCTGATTTATGTTTCACCTTCTTCACATTTGTCACTGCAAGAAAATATTTACAAGTAAAATGACCAAAGGAAAAGACAAATAAGAAAAAAAGAAAAAAAAAAAACTAGGACTCTGATAACCTACAACAAAGTAATCAAGATTAGACTTTAAGAAATTGATTGTATTTTTTATTTTCCTCTACTATTACACTATTCAAGAACCAAAGGTTCTTGCTGGTAGTCGTGAAAGAAAAAGATTCGCCTAGTCAAAGAGGACTAGGCAAACGAACCTGCATAGTTAAATTAATCTCAGATTGTGTTCCATACAACATTTCAACTAGGTATCCAAAAAGGTAGACTCAAACCAGGGTGACCCCTCAGTGAAACACAGCTACTTTCTCCTTGGATATATATCAAAAAAGGACACACTCTCTATATTTGTCCAGATGTGCTTTCCCAAAAGTCGCCCAGTGCCCAGGACCACACTCAAAGAGCACACAGCTGTACACTAAATTCACATAAAGTTTATACTAATAAAGCAGTTAATAGCATATACCAGCTCCTAGCAGTAGCCATAGTAAGAAATTACATTCCCTGAAACCTTCCACAGAACCCATTCTCTCCTCAGATTATTCAACTCTCTGACCCAAAAAAGCAAAACACTATAAAGCACATCTAATATATTTCAAATGTGGAGGAGTACAGGATAGGGTTTCTTTTTTTCCATTGACGTTTTAGGGTTAAAAGCAAGGGAACTGAACACTAATGTTAAAGGATGTTAAATACTTTCTTTGAGAAACAACTAATTTACTGTGACTTCAAGCAGAGAGTTCCTATAGCTTCATGGTAAAGGAATTTCATCTCCAAAGCATTTGGAGAGAAGCTTCTGTCTTCTTTCCACCAAGCACGCATACCTGCCTCAGCCTCTTCCTCATTTTCTCTTAAGAATTGCCTACCTCAGGGGCGCCTGGGTTAAGTATCTGCCTTCAGCTCAGATCATGATCCCAGGGTCCAGGGATCGAGTCCCACATCAGCCTCCTTGCTCAGTGGGAAGCCTGTTTCTTCCTCTGCCTGCCGCTCCCCCTGCTTGTGCTCTCTCTGACAAATAAATAGATAAAATCTCAAAAAAAAAAAAAAAGAATTGCCTGTCTCGAGGCACCGGGGTGACTCAGTCGGTTAAGTGTCTGCCTTGAGCTCAGGTCATGATCCCAGGGTCCTGGGAATCCCGGCTCAGCGGGGAGTCTGCTTCTCCCTCTGCCTCTGCCCCTCCTCTGCCTTAGCCCCTCCCCCCACTCGTGCGGGCGCCCCCTCCCTCTCTCTCTAGCGTGCTCTCTTACTCTAAGTAAATAAATAAAATCTTAAAAAAAAAAAAAAAATTGCCTGCCTTAAGGAACTTGCATTTTCCTTTCAGCTCTTTCTTGTGCAAGTCCTAAGTGGATCTGCCTTTCAAAGGCAGATAGATAGCAGGCCTACCTCTGTTCCTGCCATCAGGGCCCACTGGGCGTGAGGAAACAATTAAGGTATGTGTGTTTGCTTTATATACATGAATTCTCCTCAAACAAAAGCCCAAAGTCTAAATATGGGGTTATGCTGGGAAGCCCAACTGTAGAAGGCCACAGATCTAAGTCACATCCTCTAATCCAACAAAACCACCACACTGAAACTGTGACTTGGATCCCCATCTGACTTTTTTGCCTCTCTCTCAATGGGTACCAAACTCTAAGAAGGACAGAAAAGTAGAATTTTCACTCCTAATACCCCAACAGTGGTGGAGCTCAAACCAAACTCTAAGTCAACACATCCATTTCATCAATGAGACAACTACAAGTCACTGATTAAGAGATCTGAATTCCTCCTGCCTAACTCTAAAGGTTATACTCTACTACACTGCCCTACTTCTCATCCTTACAAATATGGATCAATTAATCACTGGTTATTCATAGCCTACTCACCCAGAAATTTATAGCCTACTCACCAAGAAATTCAAACACAGCAAATCAGACATCTCAAATCCATGTGAACATATCTTCAGTCAAATTTCCGAATAAGTCCTTTCCCTACCTTGGGCTTAAAAAAATTCCTGTATCAAGAAACCACTTTTACTATTGACAATGAATATTTTGAATGTAGAAGAAAGCAGGTAATCATTAAGTGCATGATATCTTGAAAATAAGGGAGGAAAAATAGCCACAATGACTTTCCTAACTCCTGATAAATGAGATTTATTAATAATGAATGTATCATTAATAAGCCATGTATTTATTATTAACACCTGATTTTTTGTTAAAACACAGCGCAGAAGAGACTGGTAAACACGGGCCATCAACACCTGGGCATTATGTCTCTCAAAAACTTCCTCTCCTCAGATTATTCATGTGTTGTGTAATGACCTCAACAGTTTCATTTAATTTCCCAGCTCCATCTAGTTGAAATTCAAACCATAACTGTAATATGGCTTAAAAACATTATCGCATTTTTTTCTTTAGTAAAGTAAGTCCTCGTGGACTAAAACAGGCACATTAAGATACTGAATGGGTAGAAAAGAATGCAAACTACTATGCAGGACCTCAGTGCAGTGCCATCCATACAACACCAGAGTATGAGATTCTTTTTCTTTTTTCCATAGTTTATCTATATTTATTATTTTTTTCCTTTTTTTTATTATTATGTTACATTAATCACCATACATTACATCATTAGTTTTTGATGTAGTGTTCCATGATTCACTGTTTGCGTATAACACCCAGTGCTCCATGCAATACATGCCCTCTTTAATACCCATCACCAGGCTAACCCATCCCCCCACCCCCTCCCCTCTAGAACCCTCAGTTTGTTTCTCAGAGTCCATCATCTCTCATGGTTCGTCTCCCCCTCCGATTCCCCCCCTTCATTCTTCCCCTCCTGCTATCTTCTTATTATTATTCTTTTTTTTTTTAACATATAATGTATTATTTGTTTCAGAGGTACAGGTCTGTGATTCATCAGTCTTGCACAATTCACAGCGCTCACCATAGCACGTACCTTCCCCAATGTCTATCACCCAGCCGCCCCATCCCTCCCACCCCCTCCACTCTGAATTAGAATTCCGGGACGTACATTTAGGGAAAACACAACACACACAGGCAAACTTAACATTAGTGATACATCTCCAAATCCAAACTGTAACAAGCCTATGCTTATTGCAAGAATTCATGAAAAGTGCTCAAAGCCTGATAAACTAACCCCACTTAAAAACAATAAAATGAGCTTTCTTATCCCTTACATTATGTTGCATGTGCCGCTTTCATTTTCTCATGGCTTGATGTAGAAAACAAATAAAAACATTTGCCTTCAAAATGTTTAGCAAGTCCAAGCCTCCGCATTTAATTTTTTTAAGCTCATAGTGACAAATGGGATTTAAAAAAAAAAAAAAAAAGCAAATAAAAAATTTACCTTCTAATAGCACCATGATAAGAGGTCAGCCTCTTTTTGAAAAACACAGCTTCAAAAAAAGGCCGAATATATTGCTTCCATTAAAAAGTTCAAGGCTGGTGTTATGAGATAGAATATTTCATAATCACATACATATGAAATTTATATCAAATAGAGTTCCACTTCAAAGCAACAAAATAAATGGACTTCAATGATTCTATGTCCAGATTCCAATTTATGACAAACACTAAATCAAGTCTTTCAAAACAAAATCTCGCTTCAGTATTTTTATACCTTGGTTCCAGCTGCCAAGATACAATTCATAGTATTTTATGATTCTATCTCTTATTATAATCTCTCACCTATGAGACCTTCACATTTCCATTATTCCTGACATTAAGGACTGTATTATGAAACTTTTGTATTTATTATTTTCCAAATTACCACATCAAGAACTCAAAAATTTTCATATTTTAAAAATAAAAAGACATAATCATTCCTCACACAGCTACCCTTCAAGGATGAATTGAAATTGCTTCTCTGAATAATGACAATAAAATATAAAAATTCTGTAATAGATCACTATCCGTACTCTGAAATGAAAGTGACAAAAACCAAAGAAAGACATTTTGGACATCTCTCTTATTTGGTACTATCTCTTGATTGATTACACTAGCTTACTGTAGAAAGTAAAATGTGCAATGCATTTTCTGATTAATCTAGCCAATCTACCCTTGGATTCTCATGCCAGAAAATAACTTCAAAACATAAACATTAATTTACTAATAATGGTACATATTTCACTCTAGTATAGTCTCTTTTGACTGGAACATTATACATATCTTTTCCAAATGTATTTTTCCAGTGGGAAAGTAAGTATGCAATCATATCAGCTTTGAATGACAGGCTGCACATTATTAATATCTGCCCTCTATGGCTATTGTCAATTCTATTCAGATAGTATGGGCTTTTTTCTAGACTTCTTGGAATTTTGGCTTAGACCTAATATTTTTAATTTTATTACAGAAATTAAATATAGCTTCCCTTTTCATTCCAGTAAGCAGTACATCTGTCCTACTACCTTCCTCCTGTCAAGTTGAGGAGGCCTTGAAATGAGCACCAATTATATTTCCTACTAATAACCTGGCACAACTATGAATAAGAATAAAGGAAATGTGGGCTCCTGGGTGGCTCAGTTGGTTAATCGACTGTCTTCAGCTCAGGTCATGATCCTGGAGTCCCAGGATCCAGCCCCGCATTGGGCTCCCTGCTCAGCAGGGAGTCTGCTTCTCCCTCTGACCCT